ACTCCATCCACTCTGTGTGCAGCAGAAAGCAAGGAGAACCCAACATGGGTCAGATGCTCCCTTGATGCAGAAGCAGCTGGTGGACAGACGATGGCCCAGAGAGGGGGCATAGGGTGAGCAGTTTGGGGTCTGACAACCACCCTGTGGGGTGGTGCTGCAGGATGAGTCATGAGAGTTGCTGAGTGTTGACAGGTGGATCTCACACTGGGGAGCCATCCAGGACTGTGAGGCTGCAGGCCACATTCCTCGAGCTATGGGGCTCCAGTGCCTTGGCCAACAGCTTATGCCCAGAGCTGCTCTCCTCCACCAGACCTAGTCCAGGCTCCCAGAAGCCTTTGAGGTCACGCCAAGTCCTGCAGATACTTATTCAAATGACATAAGGTTTGCCGGTACCTAAAAGAGAAAGCTCACCTGCTTGTCAACGTTTCAACCCCCAGATAGGGACAGGGGTAGTTCCTGAGGTTAGGGCCATGCAAGTGTGGGGAGGGAAAAACACGGCAATGGTAGCTCCCACTGAGAATAACTGCCATGTGCCAGGCATTATTCTGACATATGCACTGTGTATTGAGTCCCCACATGAACCCTGTTAGGCAGATGCTCAAAGTGTCCCCATAATGAAGATGAGGAAACGGAGGCTTAGACAGGCTAAACATACAGTAAGAACCAGGGCTGGGACTGAACCCACATTCTCCACCACTAACCTTTGGGTCAAAGACAACTAACAGGGCTTGGGGCGCAAAGGATGGACCCTGATGAAGTAGGGGTGAATGTTGGAGAAAACAGCCTAGGAGTGGGGGATGTCATTAAGGAATGGTAGGGAGTGGCACAGGAGGAGGAGAGAGTATGGGGAGATCATGAACCCTAACACCATCTCCCAGAGGCTACCAGTTTCACTGTCAGAGTATTTCCCTGTCCCCATAGCTGCCTCCAGACTCCCAGACTTCCTTGGCACTGCTGGAGTGTTCTAGGTTTGGTTAGACATGATTTCATAAAAAAACAAAACAAAAAACCAAAAAACCATCTTGGTGTCAGTTTTGCCAAAATAAGAAGTCAGAAAAAGATGCATCTCTGTACCATGAGACAGTTCCAAGAAAGTTCTTAGCCAGAAATGGGGATTGGTTCTGAGTGATGGGCAGAACTGACAGGAAAGTGGCACAGCAGTGACCTGCAGCCACATGCGCCAGGCTTGCCAGGCTCGCCAGGCTCGCTCGGCTCGCTCAGCCTCAAGACTAGTGCAGAGGAGCGAGCAGCAGGAGGGAGCATCCATGCCTGGCTCTAGTATTGAGAGTTTTTACAACTGTAAAGGAGGGCTGGGGTGTAACTCAGTGGTGTAGCACTTGCCTAGCTGGTGAGCCCTGGATTTCCTCTCTGGGAACGAAATGCAGCAGGGGTGTAACAGAAAGGAAAAACGTTATGGGGAGGGAGAGAGAAACGGACTTCAGGGGGAGAGGAAGGTTTCAGGACCTGTGTGGGTTCTAGGTTTTGGCTGGGTATATGGATGTTTTTCTACTGCTTTTTTTTTTTTTTTTTTGCTGTTGCCCTGTTTGGCTGTTTGTTGCTCAGGTTGGCCCTATGCTCTTCCTGCCTCAGCCTCTTGAGTGTTACCACACCTAGCTCTACTGCTGTTGTTTGTATCTTACACATACATTATAAATAAGCTTAAATAGATTCAGTGTCAGAAAAAAAAAACAATTTTAAGATGTGCAAATAGAAACGCAGTCTTCCTCGAAGATTCTCTGTGGAGGGCTGCACCTCTACAACACTCTTTTCTCGTGCCCTCTGAGTTGTCTCTCGAGTGCATGCTGACTGTTTCTTTGTTGTTGTTTTGTCTTTTCGAGACAGGGTTTCTCTGTGTAACATCTCTGGTTGTCCTGGAACTCACTTTGTAGACCAGGCTGGCCTCAATCACAAAAATCTGGCTGCCTCTTCCTCCCAAGTGCTGGGATCAAAGGTGTGCGCCACCACCTGGCTCACGGTGACTGATTTAAGTAAGCCTCTACCATTGAGTACTGAAGTTGTCTGCACACTTTATACATCACAGAGTATGACTGTGATGTATAAATAAAAAGGAAAAACCAGGTATAAAAAGAAAATCCTTCTTTTCCTAGGTCTGAAAATTGGACACAAATACATGGCGGAACTGTGCCACATCATGCCATATTTGCCAGCGCATGGAATCCGACCTCTGAGTCCTTCGGGCCACATGTCAGTCAGCCACACGGGTTTGCTGTACTTTCTTGCGGCTGCTACTCTCCCCAGCCAGGTACTGACCTTGAGGCTGTGAGGTGCCCTCCTGCACACCAGTCCTGGGGCCTCCTGTGTGGCTGGTGAGCACCTGTGTGCTGTGCTAGCTCAGGGATAACAAGGGAGAGCGGGCCTGGTGAGACTGGAATGGAAGGTCCAGCTTTCCCTCTTGAAGCTTGCTGCTGCAGCAACCTTGTTCAAACTTCAGCCTCTTGTTCCCCTTGGTTGCCTTAAGATGGCAGTGACACTGACTTAATATGTAGAATATAAATAAACTGGGCTGTGAGTGTAGCTCTGTGGCAGAGCAATTACCTAGCATGCTTGAGGCCCTGGGTTCAAACTCCAACACTACTGAAAAACACTCTGTCTATTCACTTATCTCACAGGTAAGTGTATATATGGAAGCACCCTAGAACAACAGCATTATAGTTTCTTGTATATAATTGTAGAAATTTTGCATGAATATGCTCATATCCATTGAGTAATAGTCACATAAATTTAAAAACAAATGAGATCATCCTTGCCTATGCCAATGCCTTTTCTCCTTAAACCTGCTACTGTCTTGCTGATGGCTATTTGGTGTTTCTCAGGGACCTCTGGCAGGCTGGAGGACCCTGGTGCTTTTCAAGTACGGATAGTGCTGCAATAAACATGTTTTAACATGAGGAAGTCTTAAGGACTGGGGTGAGTACATCCCACATTCCCACAGGTGAGTCAAAGTACTCTAGTGTAGCTTGTTTTGGGCCTCTTAGAAGGATCAATGCTGCCTATATGGCATGCAGGGAGCAGGAAGCTCCAACCTACCCCCCACCTTGTGCTGTGAGTGGAAGCTGCCATTTCCACCACAGGCCTGACCAGCAGGGGCTGTATGTACTCCTGGCTCTCTTGTACAGTGACAGACTCTCAGAAATAGGGGGGAAGCTGGAGAGCTCAGTGAGGAGCTTCAGGGTCAGAGATGGGAATCAGGTGACCCTGAGTAGATTCTTATCTCTGCCACTCACTAGCTATGAACCTCTCACAAGTGTCCTTCTGAGCCTCAGGCTCCTCAGTGTCCAATGGAGACAGTAAGAGAACCTACGTTATGGGGACATGGGAAGACTCTGCCAATGACTGCGTGTGAGGCCTTCTGAGAAATGGCTGACAAGGAGAGGGGTGGCAGCAGAGGAAGTGGCTGGACCAGGATCCAGGTCCAGCAGCCTTGCCTGGCACATGACTGGCCCTCAATACTCTAGCTGTTGGTAGTACACTCCCCAGGGTGGTGGGCAGAGAGACCTATTAGTCATGTTGGGGTATTCCAATAAAATCAGCTCTGGGGAGCAATCTACTTAGATGTGAGAGCTAGATCATTGGATGGTGTCATACTTGCCACCTCACTGTCTCCTACTGGGTATGTCTGTGGCATTTCCTTTAGTGGAAAAGAGTCAAAGTTCTGGCTTAGAGCCAGGCTTCATTCAAAGCTGTGCAAGGGTTTCCTGGACTCATGGGAGAAATTGCCAAGTGGGTGTCTGGGGGCAGCACTGATGGGCTCAGAGGGAATAAGGAACCCTGTTGTCTAAGGGTTCCTGGTCATAAACAGGATCTGAGGAACCTTACCTGAGGCCTGTTGCTTTTACACGCATCATCCAAGTGCTTGTGCCACAGTATTGCGTGAAACCGGGAGCCCGTCTGGAACTTGTAAACATTGCCTGATGGGGAAATGATCCCTGGTTAAGAAGGACACACAGGCTGGTCCTCGTGTGCTGTGGGAGTGCCACAGCCCAGGGTGAGCTAGCACTGACAGGTCAGCTATCTTTTTGACTAGGCCCCTAAACAGGTTCTGAGAACTTCTTGAACCAATGTTTTCAAATGTGTGAAATAAAAATACAAAGAAAATCACCAGCACTGAGACTTGGTACTAAACTACCTACACACAGTGTGACGGGATGTGAGTCTGTGTGTCCCTGTATCCACAGACCTGCTGGTAGCAGGCCTAATAGCATGCTGGGATTTCGAAATGAACACCAATGAGGTTTTGAGAAGTCTGAAACCTATGCATGCTATGAAAATGCCTATCATTTCTCCGGGGGACAAAACCCATAGTATTTCTGAAATTCTTGTCACCTGATGCTCATATTCATAATGGAAGGAAGACACCATTATTTGTTACTGAAGACCACGATGTAACTTTTCATGTCTAGTTGATAGACCTCTTCAATTCTATCAGTGGACATTGCCCCTCTGCTCAGAGATACTGCCTTCCTCCAGGCCTGTGGGTCACAACCCCTTTGGGGAGCTCCATATCAGATGTCCTCTATATCAGACATCTATGTTACGATTCTAAACAGTAGCAACATTAGTTATGAAGTAACAACAAAATAATACTCTCTTACAGGGCTACAGCATCAGGAAGGTTGACAACCACTGCCCTAGGCTCAAGCAGGGGTGGCCTGTGAACCCCGTGGCCACAAGGGCTCACAGTGGAGCTTGTGTGGGCATAGATTTCTTTCATCCTAATGAAAGCAAAACAAAACAAAAACACTGGCCCTGGCTGGGGAAGAAACTCCAGTGGTACCAGAGTAAGGACATCTGTGTGTGTAGCAGACATATACTCAGTCACCCCAATTTAGAGCAGAGGACCAAGCAGTCTACCGTGCCCCCACCTGTAGGGCTCCTTGAGGCAGTTGGGTGCCCGTATTTCTCAGCTGCAATCATGAGAACATGACACTTACAGTCTCCCGGCCTGTACCTCTAGCACCCTTCCCAGGGAACTTGCTAGAAATGCATAGTCTTGGTCTCTAGCGAGATCTACAGACCCCCAAATCTAAACAGATCCCCGGATGACTGGCCTGTGTTTGAACTCTGTACTCACATATTCCTATCCCTTTGGTGTGAGCACACACAAGAGAGTTCCTGATTCTAGTAAACTCATATGCTGCTGCTGTTCGATTTTTGTTTGGTAACTTGGGCTACCCAAGAAGCTGGCTGTAGACGGCTGAGTATGTCACTGAAGACAAGGTCCCTGGGCAAGATGGCACCAGAAACTTTCCCTCCTCTTAGCAGGGCCAAGGGAGAGTGGACCCAACAGGGACTGAGAGGGAAGTGGGGGAAGATCAAGTCAAAGCCTTTGGAAGTCACACAGGTTCTTCTGAGTTGCCCTTGGACCTGGACGGGGTCCCTGAAATTCAGGACCCAAGACTCTTCTGGCCCCAAGGCTCTTCTTCATCTAACATTGGTTGCTATTTACCCAGACCCTTGGGTCACAGATCAAGGAAGGATAGACCCATTAAGTCAAAGGCTAGGCTGTTCTCACCACTCAATGGGAGCATCAACCGGAATATAAACAGCATCAAGGACTAGACTGCAAGCCAGGCAAACCTAGCAAACCCAGAGCATCGGGGTGCACATCTGGTCAGAGAGGAGCCAGCTCAGCCTGCTGCCCACCTTTGTCAGGGTTATTCAGCTGGAAGATATCTGGGTGCTCAGGGTCATCCGGCAGCTGCACCATCCAGCCCAAGATGGAGACCTTCTTGCCAGGTGTAGATTTATACTGGAAAAGAGCAACAGACAGCTGGGAGGCCTGGGGGTCCTCACCCTGTCCCTCAGCAAGGGAGACTTAACATGGGCCAGACAAGTGTCCTGCCCACCCTAGCCCTTGCAGTCATAGGGGTCACTCCCACTAAAGGAAGTCCAGCATGGCAGTCTTTTCAGGGGACTTACATGTTTTCTGTCTGTGCCCCGCAAGGACTTGGCTCCATAGTATAGGAGGGTGGATCCTGAGAGTACGACCCAGTACCTGGTCCACGAGGATAGCTGCACAAGTGGGGAGGCAAAGTGATGATATTGGGAAAGGGAGTGGCCTCAGGATGCCTCACCATGGACACTGCTATCCCCACTTATGCCAACCGAGCCCTCCCCCATCTTCTCTGACCTTCTGTCACCTCTTGGCAGTGCCACCTCTATCCAGGTCCAGGAGATCTTTTGTCCCTCTCTTACTCCTTTCTTTCTACACCTTGTGGAAGAAGTCTCAGTGAATAAATTCTATGTGTTAGTAGAGCTGGGCCCAATAGTATACCAGGAAAAAAGACATGCCAAGCTGCCGCCCAGAAATGGAATGCTTGTAATGGGCTGCTCTGGACAGACTGAGAGCTGACTTTGGGGCCTTTCTTGCTGCTGGCTGCTCTGGACAGACAGACTGAGAGCTGACTTTTGAGGCCTTTCTTTCTGCTGGCTGCTCTGGACAGACTGAGAGCTGACTTTTGAGGCATTTCTTTCTGCTGGCTGCTCTGGACAGACTTGAGAGCTGACTTTGAGGCCTTTCTTTCTGCTAGCTGCTCTGGACCGACTGAGAGCTGACTTTGAGGCCTTTCTTGCTGCTGGCTGGGTCAAGCTGGGACCTTCCGTGAAGCTTTCAGGTGTGCAATGTCAGTGTAAGCATCCCATTCTGGGAGGACAGGACTGTGCCTCCCAGGAGCAGGTCATTCAGCATCATGATATAGTCCTTTTCCTAGTGGGAACAGCTGTGTCACAACCAAGGCAAAGCTGTCTTTTGGCCCTTGACGATAACCACAGGATGCACAGCAACAGACACACATGATAAAAGTGATGAAAGCTCACAGCACATTTATCCTTACTGTTTGAGAGGAATGTGGGATTCCATTCTCTTCCATTTCACTTGAAAATGCTAGTCCCTGGCTCAAAGGATGGCTTAGTGGGCAAAGGTGCTTGACCCTAATCTAACAATCTAAGTTTTATCCCTGGGATTCAAATGGTATAAGTGTATAACCTACTCTTGTGGTTTGTCCTATGACCACTCTGTTATGTGTGGGCATGGTATGGAGAGGGAGTAAGTCCATACCTCCGGACTGACCCAGGGCCCCATGCCATAGGAAGTTTTGAGTGTAGCCAGAGCTGGGGTGGAAGCTCTCTACCTTATCCATCATCCAACTGCCAACTAGAGACAGGGACTCTAGAGCCCCTGCAGAGGGCAGGTGACAGGGCCCTGGAATCTTCACGGTGGATGGCATCTCCAGACAACTCTATGGCAGTACAGGAGGACAGAGCAGATGCAGTGAGAAGAGGCAGTTTGAGGAGATTGCCACACAAGGAGCTGAAGCTCTGTCATGTGGTATCATGTGGCTGTGGCATATGAGTCTGACATGAAGCTCCTGATGCCTGTCCCTGTGTTTTCCCATTGGTGCTAGCATGCTGCCAGGGAGTGAGAGAGTCTACATGGGAATGCCACAGAGCAGCCAAGGTACTGTGAGCCATGCTGCTTCCTGGAGCTGTGCAACCCTCTTCCTTCTGAGTGCCCAGGTTTCTCCTGCCCTCTAGACCACCGTGGACCCATGGGCAGGCACTCCACCACAGATGACCTCCAGGAGATGTAGTTTCATTCTAAGTCACAGAGAAACTGAGGTCTTTTTCTCTTCAGTGTTACAGCCAGGGCTAGGAGCCTGGTTGGCACATCTCTAGACCCTGAGTCCAAACTGCTTCCAGTGGGTGTATGGATGACTTACTGCAGGCTTCCGGCCTTCCTTGAGCAGGGTTTTCCGTCTTAGAGGCCCCTCCATAGTGGGCACAGTGGCTGAGCTGCCCACAGTACAGTTGCAAGGGCTCGTGGGGCTGAAGGGAGACTGTCAGTTAGATATGGCCCCAGGGCAGCTGATACCTGGTACCCTCCCACCCACTATGACTCTGAGGTGCCTCACTGGCAAGTCTATGATGTCTCCAGAGTCGGAGAACTCTCTGGGCTGGGCCAAAGCCACCCAAGAACAAGGTGAACTCCTACGGAAAATTCTTACCAAGTTTCCGCACCCCAGCTTCTATCTGTCTCCTGCCATACCCTCCCCTCTGCTTCTTTCTGATTGCTCCCCATGTTCATGCCTGTGGTTTATGTCCAAGAAGCCTGAGCCCCTGCAGCCCAGCTCTGGAAACCCCTCCCTCATGCTAGCAGGAGACTGCAAAAGTAGATGGGTATAATGGAGATAGGGGACAGAAGCCCCACACTACCATCTGTCCCCCTTTCCTCCCGGCTCTTCCCTCACCCCTCTCCCTTCAGGTCAGGCACTGTCACAGATGACAATGCCCCAGTCCTGTCCTATGCTACAGATTTTTGTGCTGCTGCTTAATGGATGTCCACAGGCACCTGGCTCAACCAAGCCGGTCACCAAGCTATATGTTCTACAACCTAGTCTCGTCAGTCCTGAGCATGTTCTGGTTCCAGGTCCTAACCATGTCTGGTTGTCCATCCCACCTCTCTGCCAAAGTCACTACATTTTCCTCTGAATGACAGCCCAATAACTGCCTCTGTTCCCTGCTTCCATTCCTGCCTCCTCCCATATCCTATCTGTCCACACAGTGCTTATTCTCCACCAAACATCTCCCTGGGTCCTGCTGCTTCTAAGGAGCAGGCAATGTCCTTGCTCCTACTGGATGCTGCCCTGCCCACCTCCCCAGCCTCATCTGAAGCCCCTCTCCTTGGGTTTCTTACAACACAGTGGTTCCTACCCTCATGGAGCCTCCTCCTACCACCTCACAGTCTTTCTGTGAAACCCTTCTCCAGTCATTTAGCTAATTCCTGTCATTCTTCCAGTATCGCTTCCTCTGATGGTCCCCTCCTCTCTCCCAGAGGGCCTCCCATACCTCTCTGGAGCAATTGGAGCACCAGACAGTGTTATGATATATTTGGCACAGAGCTTTTCCCCCAGGAAACAACCCAAAGCTATCTGTCAAGTGAGAAAATTAACAAATATATACCTGTAGACACAGCTCAGAGCTCTG